TAAGTAGTAGTAAGTAGTAGTAAGTAGTAGTAAGTAGTAGTAAGTAGTAGTAAGTAGTAGTAAGTAGTAGTAAGTAGTAAGTAGTAAGTAGTAAGTAGTAAGTAGTAAGTAGTAAGTAGTAGTAGTAGTAGTAGTAGTAGTAGTAGTAGTAGTAGTAGTAGTAGTAGTAGTAGTAGTAGTAGTAGTAGTAGTAGTACTAGTAGTAGTAGTAGTAGTAGTAGTAGTAGTAGTAGTAGTAGTAGTAGTAGTAGTAGTAGTAGTGAGTAGGAGTAGCAGGAGTAGCAGGAGTAGCAGGAGTAGGAGGAGTAGTAGTGGTGGTGGTAGTGGTGGAGGACGCTAAATGGCCATGTTACCATGGATCCTTTTTGGTTTGAGCTGTCCTCATGGTAGAGTGGCCGGCACTGTCAATCTTGGCATCTCTGCTGTACTGATCAGCCTTGAATCCGGCCAAGGGATATTGTTTACCTCGGTGCCCAGCATTCAACAGGTGGAACAGTCTTCAACTCAGAGATGGTTCAACAGTTGAAAAAGAACAAAAACACATCACACAAAAACAACTACTGATTATAAACCACGTGAAACAAACAGCAACAAAAAGGCAACCCATGCATGGCATATCAAGTTTAGTATATAGTGATATGTATATATATATATGAACAACTGACATTGCATTAAAGCAAATGGCTCCTTTTTCTCCCCACATTGGCCTCCAAGTTCTCACGTCCCCAAACCGCTTGGGGAGGTGGCTTCAAACGGGTTCACCGACCGCTGCACCTGTTTTCTTCGGGCGAGACGCAGGAGGTCATGGCCAAGGTCCCACTGGCCGCCACTTCCCCCAGCGCGCCCAAGATGCCCGCCACGCCGGAGGCGCACCTGGAGTGCTGGACGGATCGATGAAAGAAGGGATGATCGGCTAACCCCAATGGCCACACATTGATACGCCTTTTGGCCTGGGTGATACGCCGTGTAGGGGGTAGAGGACCTGATGTAGGGGTGGGTGTAGGGGGTAGTTCATATGGTGGGTGGATGGTCGTCTTCTCTGCAAAGTTTCCCGCTCCAATGCTCCAAAAGACCAGCCAGGGACTGGTGTCACACCCAATTCGTCAGTGTATGTCAGTGTCTGGGACAAATGTCCAAATTCGGAAGCTCCAGCTATGGCTGCTGTTGTATGGCACCTGCGCTTCCAGAAACACACCCAACCACTTCGCATGGCATTCCGAACCGGCGGTCGACCGAGTGTGGCCCAGTCACTCAGCGCCCACGTTGGGGAAGGTGTCACAGGTGGACACGGCGCTCGAGAGCCAGGTGGCCTGAGCGAAGAGAGGCGGTGAGGGTGAAGCTGGAAGTGGAGGTTCAATTTCCCTGCAGGTCAATTACCTCATTTTTATACGCAGCCGGCGGTTATGTCAGACGTTGGATCCCTATAAAATGATTAGACCCAACCTCAAAAAACCATCTACAACTGAATAAATTGATAACTTTTCACAAAAACCAGCAATTACACTTCAGTACTTCACTTTCCTCCTTCCGCCTCAAATTTCTAGAACTCCACGTCGCCTCTGCCCGGCTCTCTCCAGCACCTCTCCTGCAACTCTCCAGCACCTGTCCAGCACTTCTCGGGCACATCTACAGGCGTCCGCATCTCCGCCTCTCCAGCACCTTTGCCGGCACTCAGGCGCCTCTCCTCTAGCACTTTTCTCTATAGCACACCCTTCTCCAGCACCTCTGCGCCACTCTCCCCTGCACTTCTCATGCGTCTCTCCAGCACCCGACCTGCTTGTCAGCCACCGGCGCCTCCAGTATCTCCAGTACCCAACCTCTCCAGCATTCCTTGATTTTTGCCTGTAAACAAATCCCACAATACTACCCTTAGCTTGCATACTAGCATATAACGTGCATCATGACATACGGCCGGCCACCTATCGTGCCCTGGCTCATAAACAATGAAAACTGTGTATCGCTTCTTTCCGAAACCACCTCGATTGGGCAGTGTGATGCGCATCAATTCCTTTCACAACATACATGAGAATCTGCCAACAAACAATCCTTTTAAGGCAGATTCTAGTTCCCAAGCTTTGCCAACAAAAATTAGGCCTGTCGCACACTTCCAGCGCCTATCAACCTCTCAACTCCCCTGGCCACGTGGCGCCTCCACCTCACCTCTCCGGCCTCTCCGAACACCCCGCCACTCCCTGGCACCTCGGACGGCACCCGTCCACGCCAGCCGATCCAGAGAACATGCGACCCAGGCGGCCCTTCAATGGCAATTTCAAGGTGCCAGAACTCCATGTCGAGGGATCCAGCCGGCCGAAAGGCTCAACATTAGAATCAGGATGACGCGAAATGACTGCCAGGACATGATTCTTCTCCGCTCCTGGGGGTCAGCGCACTAGTAGATGGTGACCCCAAGGTTTTCATAAGGTAGTGGGGATCCAGCAAGAATATTAATTGGAATGTCCGAGCAGAATGCCAACTAGAAAAGAAGCTGAGAGGTCTTTATCCCAACGTATTGCGCCAAACTGATTGTCCAGTTGGGTCTGGGAGCAGAGGTTTTTGGGTTGATCAGATCCAGCGCCTGTTCCTGTGCCATGCTCACAGCAGGTTGTGCTTACCCAAGCATGTGAAGATTGACAAACATATATGCAAAGGGTATGGCAGCACTGAGAATCGAGCCAGGCATCTTCCCAGCCAGATAGAGGCTCGGGGTGCAGGTGCACCACTTTGGGTTTTGGGAGTATGATGGAGTATGATGTGGCAGCTCCCTTCACAGAGACCTGTGTTTCTGCCAGTGCCTTCGCGATCTCAGGCTTACTCAAGGGCTTGGATCTGCCCAGATGGACAGAGGTTAGTTATGCAATTTGTTTCTAGTGTTTTTGTTGCTATTTCAGCTTCTTGTTCATATTCCTTCTTTTGGTGGATCATTTCGAGGAACACGTGCAATGATAGCATATACAAACATTTAACACACACACACACATTGCACATATTCGCATACCTGGCTAGATGCAGGCCTTTGCGCGCGCATCTCTGTCTATGATGTTTGCACGCGTTCAGATCGTTTCGTGTAATTCTTTGGAGACTGGAAGACCTGGAGGAATGTTAAGCTTTCTGGTTCTGAAGCAAAGGCACGTTCGGTGAACTACAAATCATCGAATGCTGACAAACCTTAGATGATTTCCAACTTTTAGCGAGGCACCGTTGGAGCACTTCCTTTGTGGGGACTTCGTGGTCAAGGATCTGAACAATGCAAAGGAGTCGAAGCGATTGATGGGTCAGCAGCTGTCTGGCGAGTCTATGCAGCCATTGCTGAAGGCGATGGGGATTGACAAGTTTGGTGTGAGACTGGGAAACCAGAATCACGTGTGGAGAAAATTTGTGTGTTACATGCTGTTTGGTGCACCCCTGCAGGCCCTTGGCATTTTGCCCATTCTTGTTGGGGAGCATATCTGTAAGATTGAGCCTGGTATAGAGCTAATTGCAACCCTCTTCAGCGAAGTCAAGGACCTCCATGACAAAGGCAGTACTGGAGGATGGCTGGGTGGTTTGCCGAGAGCCCTGTGCCCATTGGCGCTGAATGCACATGGTGGGAAGCCAGCCTCCATTTTCGTCTTTGCCTGGCAAGGCAGCCGTGCATAAGCGATACTCAAGGTTCTTGCCCGAAGCAGGATCATGAGCGTCGTGCGTCCAGCAGCTTTCCGTTGTCGATGGTCGGAGAACCTCATCTGCTATGAGGCAAGCTGCTTGGGCAACGCTGCAGTTCACACAGGCTCGCCAAAGAAGAAGATGGTGTGGCAGGCCCATCAAACAGCCCACAGTCATTAACTTCGATGTCAAAAAAAACTGTGCCACCCATACCCCGGATTCTCAGGCAGCCAGGATAGCTGCTCCGTCAAGAGTGTCTGGAAGCCAGTTGATTACAGTCACCCCCAAGCGCTCATCTTCCTTCGCATGGGCTGCAGGACAGTGGGGTGATGAAAAGCTGTCTCCCCAAATCTCCCAATCTTCGCATCCTTTGTTTTCTATCTTGTCTCCGAAGCTTGTCTCCCAAACTTTCTTTCTAGTTTCCCCAGCTTGTCTCCCTTCATTATTTTAATACTATCAAATGGCTTGCCGCTGCCGAGCCCAAGCTTGTCTTCCTTCTCTTGGGCTTGTCTCCCTGTCGCTTGACGGCAAGCACCTAGGGTCTGCTCAGCCAGAGCAATCCTGTGCGAGGTGCCAGTGAAATCACTGGAAGTTAGCTCTGAGCGGGACTTCTTGCAGAAGATGATGAAGCTGGGGCATCATCCCACCATGATTACAGCTTATGGTCTGGCTGCTGGATCTTCTGGTTGCTCAGCTGTGGGGTGCATCCTGGAATTGACACAGCGAAGTTTGCTAAGCTGAGATTCATGGGCAAGTGTGTTCAGCATCAGCGCAGTAGCAGTGGACTTGGCTAGTGCGCTGGCTTACTTGGAGGAGATCAAGGTAGTTCATTGCGATGTGAAACCAGCCAATGTTCTGATGATTTTTTGGTTTGGAGAAGCTTCTTAAAGCTTTCGTACTCTGTTGACTGTTTAGCTTAAGAGTCAAGGACTTCTGTTTCTTTTTGGCTACGTGAGACGCTTGTCGAAAGCCGAATACCGTGCTTTTGGCACCAGTACGTGTTCGCGCAGGGCTGGACACGACTTCCTGCGCCGGAAGCCCAAATGAAAAAGAACAAGGCAGTGGTTTCTTTGGATTGTGTGCAGTAATATTTCAGGCAAGCCTAGCCATCAATGACCAGAATTACAGCATTATTACAGCATTCCACCTTGCACCTGCTGTAAAGCTGTCCTGTCTATGTTAAGAGTCTTGCGCAGCACTCACCGGATAGAGTCATTAGGCCATATTAAGGGCATCGAGTTCAGGCTTCGACGCTTGAAGGGACTCGCCAGTACAGGGCCCTAGGCCCTGGGCCCTATATGATTGCTAACAACAACCAGCAAACATATTTCTAATGCCAGTAGAGGTCTGATTCTACAACCTCATATGCAATGTGGTGATTTAGGCGTTCATTATCCTGCAAAAGTCAAAAGTCAAAAATCGCTGACCAAACATCAAACCCCTCTTGTCGAAAAGCGCACGCACTCCTACATTATTATAGAGGGGGTCAACCCACCAGATTCATAGGCAGATACCCAAGGGCTGTTGTATACTCAAGGAGGTAAAAGACCGGGTTTTACGGAGTCTTTAAACTTGTATATAGGGTTCATTTTGGTGAGATCTCCAATCTTGTAGTTTTAGAATCAACAGGATGTATATCATCATCGGAGTTATTATGAGCAGTTTCATAATCACATGATTGCAGCATATCTCCCAATCATGTGACGTGAGTTGGAGCCTCCACTATAGTCTCACTAGGTGCCTTCCTGGGTGCTGAGGTGCCCACCAACCCGAGCCATCTGGGGAGATTCCAGAGGTGAAACATGGCGAAACCATGGCGAAACGGGCGATTTCAAACGGGTGAAACCTGTGATGATCGACTTCGATTCATGGATCTACAGCACGACCTCCATGACGATGCCAAGCGACCACGCCCCAGGTAGGTCAATATGCCAGTCCCATGGAGTGGCTGGGAGTCCCATGGAGTGGCTGGGAGTCCCATGGCATTGCATGTCATTGATTGGACAGGTGTTCTCCCCATCGAGTTCCGAGGTTCCACAACTCATTGTTCAATGCTGCACAGGGTATGGTTTTCAGACTTCCCAACCTCACCGACCCCCTTTTCAACTCCGGATTCGTTCCAACGGTTCTCGTCCGAACACAGATGAACCCGTGGTCTAAATGGAGTTCTTTGTGCGACGCAGGCGCAGCAGTTCCCACCATCTCTGCCAAGGTTTCTGCGTTGACCGCCTTAGATGTGAGCAACTTTAGCAAAGTTGGAAGATGTTGGAAGCATCAAAATGCTCAGGCTGGACAGAGTCTTTGACATGCAGGCCACTGCGCAGGTCTGATTCTGCTACTTGCCAGGTCCTGATATATGCATGTTCATCCTGGGCACTCTGGCTTGATTCCTCCTCACCAATCTTCCTCCTGCTCCCAACATGGTGCCTACCATCAACCACGGAGTTAAGGACTCTTTCGCCCAAGTTGTGGGTAGATCTCTCCATCAACTCAACCCCAGTTGACTTGGAGAAACCCACCACAACGAAAAAACAAACGATTCCAGTGGCAGCCGACTCCAATGACGCCGGAAACAGCACGTGTTTCCGCACTAACTTTTTGGGAGCGAAAAAGCTTCTTTACACCTCTGTTCATTCTTTGAAGGGAAAACCAACAGAAACCAACCCCCCCGAAGAAAAACACAATATGCTGCCATGCTCAAACACCGGGCATGACCAACCCCCGATTCAAAAGAACTCAAAGACTGCGCATGTGCACCAAGTGTCAGACCCAACAGCCGCCGTTTGTCCTGTTTTTCCGCGCCCGAGCGGCGCACGCGAAGTCGGAGATGTCGTTGCGGGGCTCGGGGCAGGTGCGCACGATGGCGTCCACGTCCTTTTAGAATCGGTACGCGGAGATTGGGAGGGACTCGGTCTGCCACCACATGATGGGATGACCCTAAATCACCCTGGGTGATGGACAAAAAAACACATACAACACGGACCACCCGAGTCGGGGGAATTGTGGGATTTCTTCATGTCTTCCATTCATTGGTGCTTTCTAAGGCCTAAGTCATCCTAAGTCTATGTCTATGGTGAAAGCAGGTGGGAAAAGCTGAGGTCTTTAGGTGCTTCTAGGTTGCCGAGTAAGTTCCACCTGCTGCTGAGAGGTTCCTGGATCCACCTACTGGGTCAGGGTGCTGCAAACATCCTCGCCGCCTACTTAATCTCTCAAGGAAGAACCCAAAGTAATTAGAGAGTTGCAAAGGAGAACCATCGCAAGTTGGGTGGGACATCTGAGTGACTTGAGATGAACCACCACACCCCATCACACATATCACACCCCCTCAAAGAAAAGAAGCCCCTTTCGGCTTCCGCCTTCCAGAACTCACAAGTACAATCAATTCATGCAAAAGATGGGGGGTGTGATGGGGGTGTGCACATCCATGTTTCATTCTCCTGAAGCTTTGGTGGAGGGGGGATCTGAGGTATGATCTCTGAGGTACCACTGAGGTACTCTCCCATCTCATCTGACCACATCCAACCATCTCATCGGCTCCAAGCTTCGATCCCGGTGCCTCCGAGACTGTCGATGGTCTCCGCCACATTGAAGACGCAGAAGGCTTGCCTCGCGACAACGAAGACGGAGGACGAGGAGGACGAGACGTTCGGAGACCAAGAGGAGGAACGCCGTGGGGAAGGTGGGTTTTGTGCGTGTTCTTTCGGGAGGAGAGATGATCGATTAGGGCTTGTTTGAGGCACACAAACCCAGGTGTTGGAAGCTCTAGATTCAGCTAGTTCCAGGACACTCCTGCTACAATTCATCTCCCTTTTTCTGGCCGCCAACCTTTCTCTTCTGGTGAACCCATCATTGTGAGTTTGCCGAGTGGGTGACTGGATTTGGAGAATGTGCGGAAGTGTCAGTGGAACGTTCCACCTCTATCATCCTCCCGGACAGGATTTGGAGACATCGGCTAGACCAGCCAGCACTACCCGAAAAGGAGAACAACAAAGTGAAAAAGCGCATCGAGACACGGATGTCAGGACTCTGGACCTCATATGTCAGCAGTCTTCAAACATCCAAAAATAAACACCAACCGTCACCAACCCCATCCAACTCCCACCCACCCAGTTGGAACCCTCCATTCTTACTGCACTCACCCGGAACCGGCAGCTTCCAAGGCACCGGAAGTTCTCGGAGCGCTCCAACTGTCCACCTCCCCAGTACTCTGCCTTCTTCTGCGCCGTCCAACCCTCAGGTGTTGGTCGACCACCGGTCGAGCGGGCACGGAACCGGCTCTAATGCGTCGAACCCGAGAAGGTGTTCAAGCATGGTATGTTGACATGGTGGTCTAAATTCCTATACAACACTATGCGCAGCACAAATGGCTCGAAATTCGTACCTCGACTGCCTCGTTGGTCTAAAACCATTTCTTGGTCAAGTTGACCATCGGCAGCCTAAACCAGCAGACCAGCAGCACATAAATAGTGGTCAGACTTGCTGACCTACACATGGTCACCCTTGGAGCCATGCCACAGAATTGAGCTACTCGAATTGATAATAATAAGGTACCAGTAAAACCAGTTAAATCAATGGTGGACCAGGCTGGACCAGGAATCCCAGGCTGGGCCAGGAATCCCAGGGTTGTGGAGTCGTTTTTGGGTTGTGGAGCTGTAGGTTGCACCTTAAGGAGATCCAAACTCGGCATCATGGCCGCTCCATCCACATTCCCCCAACCCAAACGAACCCAATACACCACAGCGCTCCCGCATCATTTCATCGCCCAGGCACGATGTCACCAATCTCAGCCTCGTTGTTCGGCTGTGGAACTGGGGCAAACAATAGAACATCTTCCCCATGCCAGGGCATTTTTGCAAGTTTACCCGTTCATTGGGGAACATGTTCAGAAACCCTCTTGGGCTCCAAGCACCTTTTCAGAAGGTATGACTGGACCCGACAATGGCACCCACCCCAGTCCCACCTTCGAAACGAAGGTACTCGGAGCCCCAGGGAAAAAATATAACGTACAAATTATGATCTGATCCACAATACCAGGCAGCCTTTCGGGCTTCCACGGCCAACTTCTCCGAATGGAAGTAGTCGCCGATCTGTGTCGCTCCGGAACCCACCTGCGCAGGGGGTTGTTATTTGTTTTCCTGCAGTTCTGTCGCGGTCTTTTTGCTGCACAAAAGTGTGTCAACTGTCTTTGCAAGAGCAACAAGAGGTTTCAATCACACTGAACTCATCTGAGAAAAAAAAGGAAACAGTTCATGCACAAATGCCCTGCAATAAGTTGCATGGCTCATAGACTGACTGCAACATATTCTCTCCGATTCCCCAAAGCACAAGGGCCCACATACACACAAAAAAAATAGCACCAAACATTGAACTAAACAATCTAACAAACATCAGTCGCCACACCGCTAAACACCTGTGCAAACAAAGTATAGCATCCTTGCTCTCTGTTCGTAGCGATGCCCTTTGTTCCTAGTAGCTTCTTGTTCCTATAGTAGTAAGGCCAGGAGCTACTAGTAGCGTCCTTGCTCCGTTCGTAGCAATGCCCTAGTAGCTTCCTAGTAACGTTCGCAGCGATGGCGTACCATCTTGCGGAGACCCTTCGGCATGCCCAACTTGTGGATCTTGTGATGGGCGATCCTCTCCTCGGTTGGAGCTGCGGTGGAGAACGGTGGACGGAGCTTGGGACGAAGGGTGTTTTCGGATCGGGGGGGAGGTCTTGGAGGGGGTGAAGTGAAACAATGATTAATGTGTGACTCATGTTGGGTGGATGGTTATGGAGTGGCAGATGGATGAACTTTAAAAAAAACGAACATACTATATCCATGCTAAACAAACAAACATTCCTGACAAAGAAGCTAACTGCAAACATGCCAGGTTCTTGAAACCTTACAAGCTAAAGGGATTCAAAAGCGATCAATTCTTGAAATTCAACAACCACGAGGAACATGAGAATCTTCTTTGGAGATCTTTGGACATCTTCTATCTGCTGCTTCACCGAAAGTCTTGGCCACCTGTACCGCAGGAAGAAAAAGATCCGCGGGCTCATGTGAGTGGGTATGGCTTCCAAACAGGGGCAGCCTGGTGGTATCACTGTCACCACCACCATCTACTGCCATCTACTGTATACCCACGTATATACTAGTACAAGACAGACCTTCCATGGTATAGGTCCTAGGTACTTCCAATTGGCATTGGGCTCATAGGTGGGGGCAAATGTATGTAACAATAAAGTACATGAAAGAAGAATTGAGCTCCTGAACTCCCTAGCTTCCTGGGTCACTCCCTGGGTCTGGTAAGCGGGCACTTCCTGGGCAGTGAAAGTCGTCTGCGCTCAGCGGCTTCTCTTGCCTTGCTCATCGTTTCCCTCACCATCTGGTCCTTAAGTCGTGGAGATGTTGGGGGTGCCAGGAGGGTCTAGATACCTTCTGAGGAATAACGACTAGAGTGCTAGGGGGTGGACAGAAAATGAAAGAAGAGCGGGGAGGAACCATCTGTGGGAGCCAAAGGGGTGGACACTCAAAGCGACGGACACTCTTTACCTTGACTTTCACATCTTACCTTTTTAAGCCAAACAGGCATCCAAGACCAATTCGATCCAATTCGGCTGTTGGTGGCAGGATGTCCGCATTGCCTTCACCAAATGGGCTGCTTTCCATGTTGACCGGCATCGGACTCACTTGGTCTCCATGCTGACCACGGTGGGGGGGTCCATCGCAGCGATGTCAGCGATCGCTGTCAGAAAGTGATCAAACCATTGCGAAACAGGCATGAAAGTGATGAACATCCTCGCGGATTCTCTCAGGTTTGGGGATGGTTTTGGTTGGATGTGTTGTATACTGTATACCGGTTTGAAGATCTGGGAGTTGACGGGCTGGGCTGCTTGGATTTGGCTCTCAGGAACCGGGGACAAGAAGTTGGACGTCCCCATGGAATTGAGATGAACAACCATAGGGAAAGATAGGCGTCTCCACTATTCTCCATCGTCCCATCCGTCCTACCAGCACCGTACCATGTCGGGGTCACCTGGCGAAACCTCGCCCCAGCTCCAGCCACGATCGACCGAGAAAGCCAGGACACCCCGAAAGAAGGTCCAGGTACCCAATCCATCCGTCCATGAGCCGTCTCCAGGTTTGGGAGTCCGTCCGGACCGAAAACGGATGAACCATGAGGAACCATGGCGCCGGACTTCCGCAGGACTCCAGCAGGACGAGTCCTGCGGTGTTCTATGGTTGTCTTTATTTGGGTGGTGAATCGCCCGCGAGATGGGGAAATGATGAAGATGATTCAGGATAGATGAACTACAAGCTAGCCCTCCTTCCAATTATCTATATACACCGTTTATCACAAACATTTATAAACACGATTTTCCCGCATTTCCCAATCAAACAAAGCCATCTGCAGCCCCGCAAGAGGGCGCCCAAAAGCCTTCGCTTCCGGTCTACGTTTCTGCTGCAGCCCCGCAGCAGCCGCGGTTCGGCTCTTCACAGACTTGAGGTTCCGCGAGGCGGCTTCTAACCTCGCAATGGCGCCATGCAGGCGTGGTTCGCGCATGGTTCGAGCGGGGCGTGGGAAAACCAGGAAGAGTCTGTTTTGGCTGAAGCTGTGAAGCCACTCCAGTGCAGAAGTTGTATGGAAGAAACATGAAGCAGGGATGTTTGTTCTGCCCATTTGGTGATAATTTTAATATAAAACAACAGCAGCAGGCCACAAATGCATGTCTTCACATTTGTTGGACTTCAAAACATGTTTTGACGGTTGGTTCTTGGGGTGTCAGCAAAGTCTGAAAGATCATCAAGCTCCAGATATTTGAGACCTTTGCTGACTTAGAAAAGGGGCAGAAGTTAGGTGGTACTGCTGCGCGATCTTCCACAAAAAAGGTGTATCAAGTACTCAAGCACCCTAAAGCTCTTCAGCTGGAAGCAGTACGCCCCACCAATAAGATTGACAATGTCCGTAGGAATTCGAGAGGAACCACCGCTTCCGAAACTTAATGTGACCTGATCGTTTTGTTTGTCTCCTCCTTCTTCTCCCTTTCGCCTCAACCTTGCTAGCTACTAGTTGGACCCGAACAAGGATGTTGTCCTATAGAGCATCAAATGCCAATTTCATACATCCAGGTTTCCACTACCGGGAGAGCCATCTTCTGATCTTCCTTTTCAGCATGACCACAACGAAAAACTTCAGGCCACCTGATGGCTTCCCACCCCAAGGCCACCAAAACCGCAAAACCGGCTTAAGAAATCCCCGCCCAACCACGCCTCCGACTGCCCTCCGACCCACCGCGAAGGGTCCATGTCCGGGTCTCAGACCGCTTCCCTGAAGAAGGTCAAGGCACTGCTTCATCTCTACCATTTCAATCCCATGCCCCCGGAAGACGGCCCTCAGGTCGGGGCGATCGACCGGCCGTTGGGGCTGACCATGACCGGCGGGGGATTAGTAGGTGAGGGGCTGACCAGTTCGGAGGCCGAAAGGCAGGCTACAAGGGAGGGGTCTCGGAACCACCATCGTCCCCTCTCATCCAAACGACTCCAACCAGAAGGCGGGGTTCCAAAAAATAGAAAGGGTCGACGCCTGTGGGACACATCCGGATGAGTTCGGGAAGCTCAACACCTTCCGCTGTATTTTGCAGTGGCAGGGTCAAGTTTGATGGTACAAGTTCTTTCCCGAAGAGCCCTGACCGTGCAGGTCGAAAGCTCGAAGAAGTGCCAAAAGTGTGGCGCCCGGCTGGCTTGATAGACCCCTAGCAACGCAGGGCCTGCAGTTCATGCCAAGTACATTTACTTTTTCTGCTCATGTTGAGTGAGCTGACGCGTTCCTATGCGTTCCCCTGAAACAAGAACATGTGGATCCGTCCAGGAACAGATCAAATCCTACAGAGCACTTCATCCAACTCTGTGATGCCCAACCCCATACTTCGTCTCAAGAGAAACCTCAGGTGCCTCTCAAACCTCCTCCAACTCCTTGCCCTTCTCTCATCTCTTCCCCTACCATCTCGCTCCCCTACCATCTTCCTCTCATCCACCCACCCCGCTCGCCCGAGCGGTGCCGCACACATATTTCGCTCGCTCGCCCGAGCGGCAGCGGAGAGCGGCATGGATCCGAGAGCATGAACAGGACCACGCCGACGAGCGCGGCCAGGACGCCTGGTTCAGGCGTGAGCTAGACCAGCACGATCGGAGCCAAGGGATGTAGTCTAGAAGTCTGGAGGGGAAAGAGGGCTGACGGGTTGCCAAGGTGTGGAGAGCTTTACCGCTTGACCCATATGCAAGCTTTGCCTAGAAGAAAAGCGGCAGAACTCGCGTCCTTTCATGTTGTGGGACAGAACTTGAACACGTCCCGACTACACGTCCGACTCACATCGCATGGCAGTGGACGACCCGCTTTTTGAGGGAAAAGTAGAGGAAAGTAGACTTCCAAGGGACCATGCCATCCACATCCATGTGATGTGTGTTCACAGAGTGTATTCTGTTTGGCCCATAAATAGACCCTTCTTGGCATAGCAATGCATAGCCCCCCTGGGTGTGTCGCCACCTTGAATGAGTGAGATTTGGAGCGCCCATTTTGATAGGACGATCATCTCCACCTCCTCTGGAGGGGGTTATATATAAATCACGAGTGATAAATCTGAAAGCGAAGAACTTCCGCTGTCCACCAAGCGGCTAGTCCTTTCTTGGGTGTTTCCCCGAGCTGAGGAAACGCTGTCTTGGATCTGTTCCTCTTTCTTTGTCTTGTCTCTGATGCTGAGCCTAGAGATAGGCACGCAGCATACCATCCAATGAAATGACATGTCCCATCTCCAATTTCAAGAGTTTTGGAGGAAATAACATAATATATTTGGATTTTCTTGAATCGCTGCGCCGGTCTTGCGTCCAGGTACCAGCCGTGAGAGCGATCACTTTCACTTTGTTCGGCCTCGACGGGAGCATCGTCGGTGGAACTGTGCCGGCGTGCTCTAGAACGTGTAGATTTGAAATACGAAGTTGGACACATGACAAATCTTCTTGTTGCAAGATCCAACTTGAAAGATGTTGAAAGTGAGAAAACGTTTCTTGGCCCTATCCAGGAGGGTGTTCCTCAACATTGGAGACACAAATATCCAAAAGCTCAGCCTCGGCATGCCTCGGCCGAATCAAGACCAGCTTGGACTTCTCAGCTAAGGGCTGTTATTGAACACATCTTATACCTGGACTCTCAGTTTGTACCTCAGGAAAATGGATGCGTTTGTACCTGTTTTGATAGTGTCATGTCATGTCATGTCCCATTTTCTTCTTGAATGACAAGAATCAATCACATGGGTGTATCCCTTCATCAAACTGCCTCTCAAAAATGACTTCCTGTATTCACAGCTCGTCCACCGTCTCGCAGCGTGGACGCTTGATTCAGGCGTCGCTCTTAGGCAGTAAGGGACACTTCAAATCCTCGCCAGTTCAAGCTTGAAATTCCACCACCTAACAGGTGGTTTTCCACGTTAGTTCCATCCTGCGGAAAAGGAACAGCCAAACGGATTCCGAAGACTGAATCAGGATGCTTGAGATCAGGATGCGGAAAAGCCATCACAAATGTTCGAATCCGGCTGTTCGGTGTTTCCGCACGTCGCCCGACCGTCGCCCGACCCATACAGATCGACCGCCTCTCGCTGCTGTTGTCCGGCGCCCGCAGCTCTTCAGCGCTGTCGCCCTCCTGACCGTGTCGGTAGGACGGGTGCAGATCCAGGGCAGATCTGATTGAAAGTTAGAGAGGGCAAGGGCATGGTGAGACAACTGTTGAGACAAATCAATGAAGTATAGACCATTTGAGAAAAAAGGGTCTCAAAGTCATTGAGCTCCACTGTTTTTCACAGGTAAATACTAGGTCCCAGGCAAGACAAATTTAAGAGATCGGGTCATCTGGATTCACATACACTTCTGCACAAACTCGGCGTGGGCGACATAGACTTCCTGGGTACGTTTCAGGGGGAATCGGGTGTTTAAAAAGCCTTGAAGTTAGCGTTTCAAACATCTGATCGTCCCTCATCGTCCCTCAATCCAGTCGCATCATGTCGCATCAAGTACAAGCACTGAGTCAGGCTATACATCGAACAACAACTTCCAGCCTTCAGCTTCGAAACAATGGTTGGGGTGACCGACTGGCCTAACACCCTTACTACCCCTATCTTCACACGTTTTGCGGAACCAAACTGGCAACTAGTCTGGCGAAAGACATTCTGTTGACAAACCAAGAACATGTGGACCTGAAGACGTAGAGCCATCCCGGTTTGCGGATTTGATTCATCAACAATCACTAGCACTCCACCGACACTGTCTTGGCGGTCCCTTTCACCGACATGAAGCATCAGCCGCCGAAACCTGGAAAAAACGCTACGTGCAAAAAAGAAAAAAAGGATGAACAAGGCACTCCCCGCACTCCCAGGCTTGACTTGGCTGTCCAGGAACGGAAAAACCACATATGCCCGTGCCAGGGGATCTACCCATATATATGGGGAAAAATTATGGGAAAAATCAACAATCACCTGGATCCGACCAAATCACCATCCCCAGCACAAGCAAAACCATGGCCACGAGCCGAAGTGGCGAAAAGCCGTGACGAGCGAGGCAATCCAGTCCTCGATCTCTCGGTCGAGGATCAACATGGCTTCTCTGGAGGTTCCTTCGGGCACCGGGGCATAGGACGACATGACCTGAGCATCGCATCGCGGAGCGCGGAGAGGAGAGGAATCGGCGCGTCTCACCGGGTCTTTGTCCGGACCCTAAAGATCCTAGAGCTCCTAACCATATCCTCAGAAGGTGGTTAACCCACCCCAACCACCTTCTCAGGAGGCAGTTGGAGCCCTAGGAGAAGAGGCCCTGAAAAAGGTTCGAATTTGGTTTCGATCATGGAAGAATTCGACATGGATTCACAGCTGCGTTCTTCTTCGGGCAGTTATTCTGTCAATTAGAGATGCATTTCCTTTTTGGAGACATGGATGATCGCCGCCCCAGCTTTGGAGACTCCGAGATCATTCTGGAGCCTTAATTTATGGTCAAAGGAATCTAGAATCTAAATATCGAATCCAGTGACTCATCTTCTCTGAAACTGTTCCTTTCTCAATGCATGGAAACGTGGACATGGCCAGAGACAAAATCAGCTCTTTGACGCCCTTTTGCTTCACACTCTGGGTTTCTCCTTCTGTTCATGACTGCAAAAAACACGTGGTTCAACCGCTGAAATCCAGGGCCTCTTCGTTGCTCCGTACAGACGTAGTCACCCGGACAGAATGCTTCCGGCCCCAGGTCGCGTTCGGCCGGGTCTCGCCGAAAGGGGGGTGGCTGGAACATCTTCACGTCAGGAAATCACTGACCTCGTTTGGATTCTTATAGTTATCTTGGTCATCTTCTTAGTCGACTGAACATATCCATGCCTGTGGATTGATTATGATAATATGATTATATATTGTGATTGATAAATCAAGATTCAGGACTGGATATTGGTGATATATACATGTACTTATTAAACAAAAACAACCAAACACGACTCAAAGAGGTGACCGGACCAGCTTTGGACGAGACCGGCGCCCCTGCCCCGGTCCAGGCGCCGAGACCCCCGTCGATTCCGTCGATCGACAGGGCACGGAGCGAGAATTGGATTCAGCGAGGAAAAAAAAACAAGGTTCCATACAGCTTGAGCCCATGTGGGATGCAGCCAGAATGTCGTGGCACCCAAGATACCTTGGTTGACCTATCCCCAAGTGACCAAGTGACTGGGTTGGTGTTTGGGTATGGTTCATCCATCTCTTGAAGGCGGTAACATTGGGATGTGTTGAAGGCTCTTGACCGGGTTTCTGGTTTCCTGGAGGATGAACGTTCTTTTTTAGAAGCTATTTGTGTCACTCATTCAAACCACAGGGTTTTGAACTACATTCCCCACAACAACCAAACTTCTCACCACAAGTTTTTGGTTCGGACATCCTTCAACACCATGGCATTGACAGATCTAGGGACTTTTGCTCAGTGGAGGGGATCTTTTTGGAGGATTTCCATCCAAACGTCCTCCTGATCCTCCAGACCACTCCTCCTTCCCTTCAGCTTCCATCCTCCCGGAAGGGCGGGATCTACAGTCACTGAAGACAAGACCACGTCTGGATCCCATGAAAAGGAACGAACCCAACCAGCTACAACCAGCCGAACGAAATCCCCGACGGGCAGGAAGGAAGACCACCTGCTGATCAACCGGTCACCAAGGTCACCCGGATCGACCGTGGTTTTGTTCCAGATCTGCAGACGGCGCAGATGTTGGACATGAGATTAGCAACGCACATCTACCTTTCCAAACAACCAAGTGGAGATGAGCAGCACAAAGAACCAAAGGGTTAATTTAGGACACAAAGTGAATGCAAGTGAAAGCAGTACGTACCTGTCCCAAAACAAGTAAGATTCTAAATTCTAGATAGATAGATATGATTCTAGACTTTCATAATTACAACCTCTGTTCATTCCTTGGCTTGGAGAGAAACGTGGGCTAAGACAGTAGTTTCTTTAGCCAAACATGTAAAGACCGTGTGCCTCTTTTCCACTCTTTACCGCTCTTTTCCTTTTCCACTCATACAACCAAAACGCCATACCGTCCCACCGGTGGGACCCACCGGTGTGAGCTCCACCCGTCCTGCCCCAAAGACATGAGCCGTTCCATCAGGGAGCGGCAGAACAAAGCGCTCTTGGCCTTGGTCGCTGACAGGAAGATGCCGTTTGGTTCTCGTCTGCATCCGACTGCGGTTTGGGGTTCTTCTGGAGAGTTCCCCGTCTTTATTTTTGGAGAAGAGACGACCTACCCTGGGTGTTTTGTTTGTAGTGATCTATAAGTAAGACTACCTCTTAAGAGATTACCATGGCTAGACATGAATCGACAGGGTCAAGCTACCAGGGTGAGTGACCGGGCCTCCGGATGCCATGATCCAGGAACGCCCGAAACGCGGCCGCTGACTTGATGAGGTCAGTGTCCGACCCGTTTCCCAGGTCACGAAGCTTCAAAGGTCACCTGGTTCATCTTGGACCCATAGGTCATTCCATACTTCTACTAGTAGCAAGAAGCTATTAGGTTGGAGGCCATTGCTACTAGGTTGGAGGCCATCGCTATACTACTATAGTAGTAACAAGAAGCTACTAGTAGGTCCGCAAAAAAGAAAGAACACATGGTCATCACTTTGAAGAAGCTGGTGGTGGCGAATAGATGTCCTTCCCTGCTGATCATCCCAGTCACTGCGCCGCTATGGCAAACCGTGGCGCTTAGTTGCATTGGGTCCTCAACGCGCGGACATGCGATCTGAGGAAAGTCTCACAGGGGACAGTTGTCAGGCGAATATATCCAGGACCCAGGGTTTTAAGAAGTACCCACAACTTCCTCTTACTTGTTTAAAAAGGGTAAGACATGAGTCTTTATGCCAGCAGTGAATCATAAACGAACAGCGAGGCAACAAAAGGGGAGACACACTCTGACATTGGTTTTCAGTTAACTCAGTTCCCAGGTCAAAAATGGCGAAGGAACGGCAGGGTGAAAGGTCCGAAAAGTTGAAGGTGTTTGAACAAAGGCTGTTTCTCAAGTCTGCAGAAAGTCGGCGGTGGCGAAAACGAGCGGCGCAGCTGACGGCGGCAAAAGAAAAAAGTTTAAGGGGTAGGTATCATGAAGGACCATGAATCAAACTGATCAAATTGGACAGCGCGTTCAACAGTTGTAGCAGGTACGTTTGCAGCCCCCCCCAGTGGCCTCTTCGTTGGCCATCCGCCACTGGGGAGGGGGATGGCTTTATTGTTGTTGGCAGTCAAAGCTGTCTCTTCTACTTTGCGGCGGAGAGAACGAAAAGTCTCTTCCCCGATCACACCGCGTTTACGGCAAAGGCCAAAATTCTGATAATTGTTCATGGCCACTTTCAATGCCGTCAATTCTGGACGGGCGTCAGGTAAAACCACCATTGAAGAAAGGTGAATTAATCCACTCCTCTTGATCTCGTCTGAAATGAGATCCCTGTGTCGCACATCTACTGATGGCAACGATCCAGTTGTCACAACGAACTGCCTCGTCATGGCATGGATGGGAAGGAAGGAGAAATTCAAGGATGTTGTGATGCTCTTGGTATTGAAAAACTCCAAATTTGCATGCTTTCCAATGTAATCTTGGTTAGCAAA